TCCCCTTTACAAAATGTTCCCCTGTCAAAATGCAACCCCCTTTGCAAAAATACACCCCCCTTTGCAAAATACACCCCCCTTTGCGAAATATGCCTCGCTGGTCAGACGGCCAGGAACACGTAGCTAGCCGCATAATCTCTAACCCACGGGCCGAGGCCGGGCGATGACGGATTTTTTTTTTTTTTTGGTTTCGGAATTCCGCTCATAGAAAAAAAAGATCAAAAAGCGACGTTGTCCCTCGAGAAAAGCTATCCGTCGATGCTATTTTAACAATTTGGGTGAACTCGCACTGGAACATTTGACATGAATTTGGTCGCGATCGTCTTCAAATGCACTCAGAAAAATTGCCCCGCGAGTACATGCGATTAGTGAGAACCATGCCTAATGAATGATAGGCTTAGGGTTTCTTTCTTCAGCACACACAGCGGCAGCTATCGTGGGAATCAACAATATCCCCCCTCATCTCCAATTAATGTCCGTATGAGCAAACGACAAACGTGACACGTGCCAGATCGGGGAGAGAGGGTCATATAATCACCGAGTACGAATATAGTGACACGTGTCGAAACCTCCCAAAACGCCATCCCATCCACTACCGAGTCCACTTCTAAGCAGGCAACAACATCAATCTCTTAACAAAACTCAGGCAACTAGGTCAACGTGCCGAGTAAGAGCCTAGTTCCACTACTCGCCATCCGCCAATATTTTGAATGCACATGGAGAGAGAACCTATCCAGATGCATTCGAAATTTTGGCGGATGGCGAGTAGTGCACCTAGGCCCTAAGTAGGCTACGCATGGATTCGAACCATCATTTGTGGATTTGTTTGCAGTCCAAAAACACACTATACCCACATACCCTTGAAATGCTCTATTTACTTTACATCCACAACCATACCCTACTAATCAACAGTTCGATCAACAGATCAAAACCCGTTCCGATTCAATAAGGCTGCCTGCGTAACACACCACAACGCACTCCTCACCACGAACGAATTTGCAGCTGATATGGTTTGAACTCATGGATTACACAAATCAATCAATCAAGCAAGCAAGCAAGCAATCAATCAAGCAAGCAAGCAAGCAAGCAATCAATCAATAAATCAGGCAATCAATCAATCAATCAATCATATGGTTTTAACTACAGAGCTAGAGTACTGTCCGGGGAAACGTCACTGATAAGACCCAGATACCTGTAACGTATCTGAATCTGAAACGGGACACATACAGGAACTCTGGCCCCTCCAAATCGACGAATCACAGAGCAAGCGACGCCGATCGACGGTGATCGAGATGGTTCCCAAATCAGTCGCCCAGTCAATCGAGGCGAGTCGATCTGTCGATGATCCCGACAAGGAACAAAAAGTATGCTAGAAATATTATACAAATACATATATTGTCATATATACATATAAATACATATAAATACATATGAATGTGAATATAAATATAAATACATACATATTAATAGAATAATTGTTGACACTATGATTGATTGGGGCGTTTTGATGTGTCGACGACCGATAATGATCAGAGATGGTGATAGTATTGGCCTCGACGCACCACTCATCAAATATATGAAACGGACAAAAACGATGGCGGGTGTACCTTTCCACGTTCTAGGGGAAGATACGTTCTCCGTTTTGCACACTTGGTGTATCTTTCCACGTTCTAGGGGAAGATACGTTCTCCGTTTTGCACATTTGGTGTACCTTTCCACGTTCTAGGGGAAGATACGTTCTCCGTTTTGCACATTTGGTGCGTAGTGCGGCGAGCCTCTATGTAGATCACTCATACCATAATCACGTAATCCAAAACAGAAAATCAAGAAATATTTTTTAAGGAATTGACCATCTTTCTTCTTTTTTTTTTTAACAGCAAATTTATAATTTTCTACTCCACCGCCTCTCGATATCAAGCAGTCGTCACAAGAAACCTTGTAGATCTCGCGCAGAGAGGGCAGGAGAGGGGGGGGGAGGGGGGAGGAACACAGAAAGACATCTGACAGACACTCGCTAAGAGCATGCTCTCACTAGGACCTACGTGAACGTATCTGCGAATAATAACGGCCAAATTCAGTTCACAAAGTCCTTGTGCGGGGAGTACTACCGGAAGCCCTACCCTCCATAATCAATAGAACATTGAGCAATGCCGCAGCGCAGCTGTGGAGGGCATCAAGGATATTACTGAGACCTTTCCAAACGCGATCACATAACCTATCCATTCGATTTTAAATTACGTTTACCCATTCCATTTTGAATTACGTTTACCTGATCGGTCATGTGATTGCGTTTTGAAAGGTGGCAGTAATGTCCTTGATTGCGTTTCGAAAATTTCAAGTCATCAGTGTGTCATGTTAACGCAAATCGAGAACAGATCGAAAATATGAAACCAGGATTTCAAAGTTTTGAATTAAATGATATACAGAGATCTGAAATGCTCGCACAAAAAAAAAAAAAAACTGCTGATAGCCACACATTTACTAACAAACGTTTGTGTGGCCTCCA